CTTCCTCAAATCTAGTGTGCCAAGGACTTCCAACACGGCTGTAGGCAGTCTCTACTTCCCACCCTCATATAACCCCAAACAATGCCAATTTTGGTTATTTCTTGGGTTTCACATACAATTCTGTTAGTGGAACAAACTCACAGTCTGAAAAACACTAACTTGGAGTGACTGCAAAACAAACACACATGAATACTGGGAGTTCCAACCCCATCCACATAAGGTACCTGAGTTCAAAATCAAGGCTGACTAGAGGACAGCCCTGCCACATCCCTGGAAAGTGCCCACTCCTGGAAATGCTCTGCTTACACTTTTCATATGAACATCACAGCTTTCAAGTAACATTAGGAAGCACAAAAGAACATGGCTCCATCAATCACAGATGCCTTAATTAAGTCACATAATCTAACCAAACAACAGTGTATATTAGACTGTAGTCTCAATTCTAAACAAAAGAGCCTTGACATCTGCATCCCACAGGTGATCTGGATAATCAAATATGATCACTTTGGCCTGCTGGAAGTCAATAAAATGGCCTAACAAAGCACTCTATGCCATCAAAAAGGAACTTTTCCAATTTTAGGCCATCCCAGTATCATTCTAGTGCTTTCAGAACATGCATAACCAATGTTTAAACGCTAAAATGAACCTCCTCAAATCATTATTTATCATCATAATCTTCACTGAAATCATTCGGTAATCGAAATTTTGACAGAAGTGGCATGGTCTCTCCAGTGGCAGGAAAACAAGCCAAGCCATACTTTTCTGATACCTGACTTCCCATACTTGGCATACTATCTTACACCAGCGAGGCCTACCCAACCAGCAGATTAAAGTTTCATTCTGCTCAGCGAACAGCTGAGCTGTGGGCTGCTGATACTGTCAGCAGAGGGCTCTGTTCCTTCCTATAAAGCATCAGGATTAGGCTGTGTCTCAATTCCAGGGCAAGGACACTAAAGTCAAAATCCAAATATCAAGGAGAGGCATGAATGCAGGGATCACAATCAGGTTAACAGGGCAGGATCATCAAGATTCAAATCAATAAAATAGTTGTGCTGAAAGAGTAGAAATGAGGTTTAAAGAACAAGACAAGTTAGGCAGATCACCAACAGAAAGAAAACACTTGAAATTCTTGCATACCAGGTCACATTGCTAACTCAGTCTGGCCTATGCACCTACCCTCAAACAACAGATCTGTTTTTCCTAATTAACCCAGATAATTTCTCAAGCAGAAGACTGAAAAGTCATCGTAATGATCAACAATGACAAATTTGGCATGACACCTTCTTATTCCCACCTACCTGCACAATATTATTCAGTTCTTCTATGAGATGACAGCTTTATTATAGCATTAACCCTTCATACAACAATTTAGTGACAGGAACTTCATTCCCTTATATTCCCTCTCATTTTCACTCTTAATTTTCCATAATTCTTTGGTTTCTCACACATACTATACAAACATGAAAAGGGCATGCATACCTTCAAGAAGTCAATCTGGACATGAGTCTGATAGAAAACAGCAGGGAAGCTGGTACTCTAGGCGTGCAAGATTTTTTATACTGCACGCAGGGTCAGGTGGAGAACATACTGCCAAGTATTGGAGACTTACAGACAGTCATTCTTCCCTCTGTCAGCCATCTGAGCTTGTCAGTCCATGCTCTAAGCTGTGACATTTCATTTATTCTTTTTCTTTTCTCCTGTGTCCCTAAATTTTCTGTGGTATCATTGTGATTCTGATCAATGATGCTGGGTGTTTCTCCCAGATCTGAATTTCTCTAACCCTAGCTCAGAAACCTAATCCTAATTGCATCTTCAAACATTTGCTCTGAACTCTGGGCTTTACCCCACTACATTTAACCCTGCCAGAGAGCTGAGCAGACACCTACTTTACGTAGAGGATGATGACTATTCACGTCTAATGTTTTCATTCAGTGGTTACCTCACCACCGTGCAAAATAGGACACTAAATAAATGTTATTTGTAAAGGATATTGATCACAGTCAAAAGTAAAGACCCAGTAAATATTGAAGGTTGTCCTCCCTGAGCTTTAAGAAACCCCAGAGGCAACAATGGCTTTGCCCTAGGCAGCCCTCAGACTAGTCATTCAGGCACAAGTATACAAAATTACTCTCACTCACAGGAGACCAAGACCCATTCCTCAGGCATGGATTGCAATTAAAACTAAAGGGTAAAAAATGTTCTCATCTTAGGTCTCAACACAGAAACTCACTGACAGCTTGGGAGACTGTCCTCTAACCAAGGATTAAAAAATTGTTTTAAGTATAACTCTTACAATGTAACCTCACTAAATCTGATTATACTATAACTGATTTTTAGATTAAGTTTTTGTGGTTAATTATTTCTGGTTACTAAAAAGTCACCTTTTTCAAATACTTCTTATATGTGACAAAATAAATTTGGGGAAGGACTTCTTCAAAACTAAAAATGAGGAATAATGCAAAGAAAAAAAATCAAGCTAATACCACAGTTTGCTTTTCTATAATTATTGCAAATCAATCTTAAGGATTATTTCTAGATCTAATAAAGCAATCCTTCTTTATTCCCAAAATGCATATTAAGATGCTGGCACAGTACTGCTTCAACTGTGTTTCTCATTTCACCAACAGCAATGGAAAGCCTTCAGCCATGTGAACCACTGTCTCATGGTTCCTTTAACTACAAACTCTCAAATCAAACTTCTCTGTAATCATACACTGATTCTGTATATCTGTGCCTGTCAATCCGATCAATGTACCTAGGTAAGGAATGAACAAACTCTCTCAAGTGTGATCAAGGACTATGCTTCTTTGAAGAAACCAACAAGAAATACATTTTTTTAATTCAGAGATGGCATACATCAGTCACCAATTGGTGTCAAATGTGAATGCATATTAATGCAAAAACACCTTTACTTCCAGTATTAATAAAGTCATGGAATCCAAAGGTATTCCTCAGCTATACGTTCATTGATGTGTTGTACTGCCATCTTCTCCCATCCCCAACTGCTATGCTTGTTCAAGAATTCAAGATGGTAAACAAAGATAGATAGTACCATGTGGTAGGTACAGATGTTACAGCAACCAGTTTGGAGGTCTCATGACTGCCCTGAAAGTTCTTCAAGTACAGTTGGGATTTTTAATAGCATCCCAACTGGAGCTGTAGCTATTGATAAGGTCAAATTATGAATGGTGGACAACAATTTCCTATTTTCATTCTTGAATTCCTTCAAAACTTGAGTATTACACAACTCAAAATGTTATCAAATTAATCACTGGGAAAAACTTTTAAATGTCAAAATGAAGTACCTTCTTTACCTTAATGACCTTTTTAACAATGGCTAAAATCAATCCATATTACTAAAACAGTTTATAATGTTCATCAACAAAGTTGAAGCACATATAACACAAACAGAAAAAAGCAGGAAATAATTTTTTAAAACTACTTTCCCTAATAACTGAAAGAAAAGTTTACAACTTTAACTATAGAGGAAACCTTTCCCTTAAGATCTAGCCAACTAAAACTGGATGTCACACACAGATAGCACATAAAGACAATACGACACTAATCCAGGGGTCTAAATAAATGACTCTTTCCACTTACACTGCAATGGCACAAAATAGGAATACAGAAATCATTTCACATTCCAAGAGAACATTTTATGTTAACACATAATGAAGAGTTCTTAACCTGCGTGTCTTTAGAGGTCTATGGTTTATATGTAAAATGTTGTGTATATATACATCTGCCTATGAAAAGTCTACAGTTCTCACCGCATTAAAAAATACAACCAAAAACAATGTTAAGAACCCATAGAGAGAATCATAAAGCTTTTCCCACCACTAATTCAACATTACTTTCATATGACCCAGCAAAAAGAAAAGCTCAACAATGAAGGAGACTAAAATAGTTACAGTAAGTTTGGCTCACAACAAACTTCTATACAGATAGTACTTTATTTTAATATGATAGAAATTCATTCTCAAACGTCAAGAAAAAACTAAGGACTCTCATCAAGCTACTCTGACAAACTCTCAAAACAGGACACTAATAGGAAGATGGTTAGCTTAAACTATATGTAAACCCATTCTCAGTTCCTATAAACTGAAACATTATTTGTTCCCATAGGAATTTTAAGCTCAGTGAGGGTGTGGCCATAGCTAGCTTTTTTTTCCTTTGTTTTTATAAGCTGTTCCCCCTTTTGCTGATTTTCCTGAAATAGCTTACACACAACAAAGATTTATTAAACATCTAAACAAACAAATGAATAAATTACAATTACATGAAACCACTAAGAATCAGACGGAAACCACCAGTTCATAACAGGTACCAGCGTAAGCTTGCCAGATATTATCTATGGATCAAATCTCCATTTCTGGCAATTTTTTTTAATGAATATATTAAGTGGCATGACACTCACAATAAGGACAAAATGTGACAACATTATCACAAGGTATGCATTTCAGTACAACTTTAAAGCCAGGGAACAGGGCAGTACTGAGTAGAGACGAAATAAACAAACAGAAGCCGAGCCGGTCAGGACCGAGTAAGGTTGAGGTTAGTGGCAACAGCATGTGCGTGGTTTCCGAGAAACCTTCAGTAAGACTGCTGTTAGCCCTAGCCCCGCACCTTGCCCAACCCAGTGTGCTGCCTCTTCTTCCAGCTCCCGCCTGGCTCAGTGCAGCACTGCCCTGCTCCCAGGGATGCAGCCGCCCAGCCTGAACTCACCTTGGTAGTAGAAGGGCCTGAAGTTTAAAACATGTTAATGCATCATGCCAAAAATGCAATAAACATGCACACTTCATACACTCATGTTTCCAAAGAGATAATGTGCCACCAATAAGACAACCTCTCCACAAAACACCCTCAAAGGAGTTGGAGAAACAATTTTTTAAACACCCACATTTACCACAAAAGTAGGAACAGAACAATAGTGGTATTACTGCACCATGAAATTTCACCTAATGGATTAAAGTACCAAAAATAATCATGGCATCACCTACTTTAACTGCCATTATTTGCCCACTTGGTTTGTGGACCATTTTGTTGACAGAACCATAAGCTCCTCGTCCAATTTCTCCAAGGTCTTTCAAGTCCTCTGCAGTGAAATCCCAGTGTTGTTCAGGGGAGATCTTCAGTTTTCCTGATGACTCAATGCTGTGTGTTCTCAGTCTCTCTCTGTTAAAATATTGGGAAGCAATTTTTCCACATTTTAAATAGGTTTTAACTTTTTTCTTTTAGTACTGATTAATGTGTGGGAAAAATGTCTTGTAAATTACTAAAATAGTCTGACCTCCAGGTTTTTGAAGTTTTTCGTTTGTGTCATCCTGGTTTTTTACACACTAGATTGAGAATGATCTAGACTTAGGGAGTCAACAGATAGACCTTCAATGGATTCATAAAAACAAATTCCCAAGAAGATTTTTAAAAATTCGCATTTATTGGTTAAACTAATTCTGCAGATCAGTTTTTATTTTTAAATATAAGATCTTATTTAAACTTGGTCAAACAGCATTATCAAGTGAGAATCCCAAGAGCTGCAAACCTCCCTGCAAAAAAGCTCTTATTGTATCTTACCCAACATTCATTATTCCAGTGCCTCAATCTTCAGTTACTACAACTATTCCCAAAGTTTGCTGGACCTTACAATCACCTGGGGGAGGTTTTAAACATCTCAATGCCAGGTATCATCCCATAACAATTAAATCTGAATTATCCAGGGACAGAAGTCTGAAAACAGTATTTTTAAAGAACCCCAGATGATTCCAATAACGTTTGGATAGTGCCTTAGTATACTGTCTGTTCTTTATACCATGCTGAGGTGGGGGAACAGTTAACTGAATAGCCAGCTGGCTCTAAGAGGAAAACTGCCATGTGCTATTCAAAATTAAAATTTTCAGCCCTTGTTCAATAAAGCAATGGGATGAAAAATGAGTGGCTCGCAGACAAAAGAGTTCACTCATTACATATTTCCATTAAATAAAAAATCATCTCCAAAATCTCAACCTGGAGATCAAAGTATTAGCTTCTAACCATGCTTTGTAAAATAGTAAATCCAATGAAAAATGTAAAATCAATCTGTTTCTCACTCTTGCTCTCTCTCAATCTCACACACACCAAACCCAAATGTGTAGGAACAAACTCTATCAACCATACACTTAATGAAAAAAAATTCATTAAATATTAACTATATTTTTCAGTTTCATACTAAATGATCAGTATCTCTTTTAAATTCTGATCCCATGATACAAACAAGGAAAGTTATGTGCTTGGTCATTTATTTTTCTTATTCCAAAATTCAGGAATGTTTTCTCCAATTAGTAGAATGGTTTTCTGTAGCAACTTTTAAGGTTCCCAGAAAACTTAGCACTTTAAAATCCACCCCCACACAGAGAATAATCATAGGTACTAATATTAAGGTCCAAAGTTAGACTTCAAAGATTCATACTTTCGGTCTAAATAACAATTTACTAAATCAGTGTTACAAACAGCAGACTTTCAAATCATACTAGGTCATAACTCCAGCTTTCATTCATACAAGTGCTTTTCAGTGCAAAATCCTTTCACCCACATTATTCGATACTCTAGCACCCAGAGTCACAAGAAGCCCAGAAATCAGTGGCATAAGTGACCATTTAGGTGAGGATGAAGCCAGAACTGATCTTTTCAGATGGAAATCGGAAATCAGATCTAGGCAAAAATAGAAAGCTTTTCTTGGTCATCATTTTCATGAAGTAGACAGAGTAAGCCTGAAAAAAAATCTAACATGAAGAAAAGTTCCATGTATAATGGTTATTGTTCTATAATCTTTGGCAAGTAAATACCACCTCAATGGCACAGTTTAATCACTGGTGAAACATACAGTACCAACCTACCACTGAGGGAAGCTGAAAAAAAAAGTTAAAGTTACTTATAAATCAAAAGCAAAACTTTGAAGTGTTCACTAATTTAAGGGCTGTGGCACACAGGCTCCAGGAAGTCCTTATGATCCCCATCTTCTTAGAGTTCATATTTTGTGTAAGCACTTTTCTCTGAGTGTGAATGGGACCTGTGACTTGCTTCTCACCAAGTGAATATGGTAAACATGAGATAATATGACTCTCACGACTACATTGCTATATAATACTTATTGCTAGCATGCTTGAGTACTGAAATGAAAGATATTTCATTACTATATAGAAATTACAGAATGAAAATAGTTACAATATCATCTCTATTACTTTAAAGATCAAATTTTAGTATTATGGAATATCTCTACTAATAGCTTAGCTCACTATAGCTTTTTGTATAGTTTCTGGATAAAGTCCTTTTTTACTTTTTAAAAATGAATAGGTTGAAAGCTAAGTGATACAGGGTATCTATTTGGGCTAATATCCAAAAATTGAATAAGGTGTCAGATGCAAAATTCTGTAAATATACTAAAAGCAACTGAACTATACACTTTAAATGTGTAAATTGCAGAATACGTGAATTATATCTCAGTAAAACTGTTAAAAGAGCAGAATGTGATTCCTACCCAGAGTTCCAAGTTTCTCATTTAGAAAGAAAAGGTGCTGTAAAAACCACAGAAGAACATGCCACAGTTACAGCATCACCAAGGCATGTTCATACAGTCATCTTTATACTGGGCCAGCAGTCTTTCCAGTAAAACTGAGTCCATTTCACAGCAATTGCTTTAATAGTTGCTACAACCACAGAAGTCAGTACTTCCACAGAAGGACTACACACAGATACAGCGCTGGACTGACTAGATCCATGAACTGGACCAGAACCTTACCATTAAACTCTGTAGTCAATCAATTTCTGTCCTAAACTACGTAAGAGGCCTAGGAAAGAAAGAACATAAACAGTAGAAAACACACCCAATGAGAAGACTGGTGAAAAATAAAAACCAATAAAGATGCAAAGTTGCCCTTATTTGTTGATATATATTTGCCTGCAATTATACTCTTAAAGAAAAAAAAAAAGTTCCCTGACTTTTCCTTCGGATATCACTTTCTTGAGAATGGGGATTATATTTTATCAAAAATAACTCCTAATATAATTGCATTGTTCATACCACAAAGGATAAGTGCTTGAGGGGATGGATACCCAATTTCCCACAATGTGATTATTATGCATTGCATGCCTATAGCAAAACATCTCATGTACTCCATAAACATATATACCTACGTAACCCAAAAAATAATAATTCCTAAATACCCCTCATCTTTCCCTTCCTAATTTTCTGTGCATTAATTTATACAGATCACCCTTACCTGCCTCCAGTGAACACTCCATAAGGTTCTAACCCCAAGGTCCTCATTACCAACCTGGGAAACTCAGCCAACAGCCACTGTGGCAGTAACTATCAGCTGTTACCCAACAACCAATCTCCTCTTCATTCTCCCTAACAGAATCCTCTTTTATTTGAGGCAGCAATACACCCACCTAAAAGGCTACATTTCCCAACTTCTATAAACTGAACTGTGTTCCCTCTCAAAATCCACATGTTAAGGCCCTAACCCCAAATGTGACTGTACTGAAGACAGGGCCTATAAGAAGATAACAAAGGTTCAGTGAAGGTTAATGAAGGGTGGGGCTCTAATCCAATGGGACTAGTATCCTTATAAGAAGAGAGACTACAGGGCTCACTCTCTTCTTATATGCACAAGACATCATTTGAGCTCACAGTGAGAGATGGCCACCTGTAAACCAAGGGAGGAAGCCTCAGGTTAAAACCTACCTTGTCAGCACCTTAATCTTGGACTCTCTAGCCTCTGGAATTGTGGGAAATAAATTATGTTGTTTAAGCTACCTAGTGTGTGGTATTTTGCAGCCCAATCTAAGTTACCAACATTCCTTGCAGTTAGAGGTGGAAAACAGAAACACAGGTTCTATTTTCTATTAAAAAGAGCTAACTCGCTGGGCGCAGTGGCTCATGCCTGTAATCCCAGCACTTTGGGAGGCCGAGGCGGTGGGTCACAAGGTCAGGGGTTCAAGACCAGCCTGGCCAAGATGTTGAAACCTCGTCTCTACTAAAAATACAAAAATTAGCTTGGCGCAGTGGCATGTGCCTGTAATCCCAACTACTCAGGAGGCTGAGGCAGGAGAACTGCTTGAACCTGGGAAGTGGAGGTTGCAATGAGCAGAGATCGTACCATTGCACTCCAGCCTGGGTGACAAGAGTGAGACTCTGTCTCAAAAAAAAAAAAAAAAAAAAAAAAAATTTTAATATAAAAAAAGAGCTAACTCACTTGAAAAAAAAGACTTTCTTTTCCTCCAATCTCCTTCTTGTTGCCTGGAATGTAGATGATGACTAGAGCTCCAGTCATCCGCAATGCCCTGCAGAATTGAAGTAATGTCTTGAGAATGATGGAGCAGAAAGTAACATTAAATCCAAAAACGATTAAGCCATTACACCAACCCTAGTCTTCCTATCTCCAGACTTATCTATGGAAAAGGGAAATAAATTATCTGGTTTAAGCTACTATTTGTTCCTATCCTTGCTGTTGTTTAGATGCAAACAAACTTACTTTTAATTAATACAGCCTAGCATTATTTTATTTCCCACTAATTCTCAAAGGAGGTAATGCCCGGACACCTCCATCAGCAGCAGCAGTTTGGTTATGACAATCACTGGGAAGTGCAATTAGCATTTAGTGGCTGGGGACCAATGATGCTGTCTTCAAATTCACAGAGCAGTTCCAGACAACAGGCCAAAAGTATTTCCTTAAACAGAATCCTTAACTCTAAGACTATACTTTCAGGGGATCATTTCTATAGTTTATTACTAGAGAAGTTTCTCTGAATGTGAAGAGCATCTAAGATGTTCCCGTTCCTCTGTGAATTTTAACCTGAACTCACTCCTGAAGCTTGATACCCTGGTTGAAAACAATTCGCCAAGCATCCTGCCTCAGAATGACTTTCCTATCATCCTTCATGTGTCACTCCAAGGTTTCTTCATGAAATCATTCCAAGTTTTCTAGTCCATATCACAGTACCCTGCAAAAAACACCACATGAATAAAGCAATGCAATTTGATTGTTAACATACACACACAAAAATACACACACACACACACACACACACACACACACACACACACACATCCTTAACTCTGGTATCCCTGATTTCAGAGCCTTACTATTCCACATCTAATAATTCTTGGTTCCCAGAGACCCAACAGTTCCATATTC